TTAAATAAAGTCACAAATTCTCATGTCTGTCTCCCTATATCTTTAATATCCTCTTTCATGGACTGTCATAAAAATATTTTTTTAAATTCAAATGGATACTAGGGTATCCCTAGTCCCTTTAATTATTTATATTGAAGAGTCACTTATTTATACTCAAGAAATACTAGCTTTAAACTGTGTCTACACTACAGTTTCATGCCAGTCTCTACTGGATATACTCTCAGCCACCAGATTAACTGCAGTGATGGCTGACGTCTAACACTACTTTCCTTCTGTTGGTGGGTATATCCTTTATCAAGAGCACTTCCGCCGACTCAAGAGGGACAGTGAGGGGACTGAAAGCCAGGACTCTCAGCTCTAGGTAGCTCTCCACTGGGTGCTTATCTGCCCACCGGGGCTACTTTCCTCTGTGCTCCCAGATGGTAGTGAGTGTGTAGGGCTTCTTGCCTCTGCTCTTAGCTCGGAGAGAAGAGGGGTACGTGTGTGGGGAGCCACCTGGGGTTTCTCACGTCTGGCAGGGAGATCCACAAATGCTGCTTAGTTCAGTTTTAGGACCTTCATCCAAAGCCTTGCATTACAGCAGGTAAAAATGAATTATTTTTAAACTGAATGTGTCAGGTAGGAGACTCTTCTGCCCTAATTGTTAGGACATAAACCCCATATGAACTAAAACTAAGAAGTTACACACAGTTTATACTTTCCTACTAAAATGTTAATTTTGTAATTTAAATATAACTGAGGAGTTGAAGTATATATTAGGGTAAATGTGAATTCAAATTATCTGTCCATAATTATCTCATAAATATTAGGACTCTGTGTTTGAAAGAAGTGATGTAGACCACTGGTTCTCAAATTATGAGTTGGGGAGGGAGGGTCATCCATTGGGTTAGTCCTGGGGGAATTCTGAAATTTTGCTGTGTCTCCAAATATAACAATTGTAGAATTCCCCCAGGATTAATGGTGTCACCAGGGCTGTCTTAGACTTGCTGGGCCCAGGGCTGAACTCTGAGGCCCTCTCCCTCCAATCAAGGGCAGTGGGGCTCTGGCTTTAGCTCTGGATAGTGGAGCTCAGGTTACAGGCCTCCTGCCCAAGACTGAATTCCTTTGGGCTCCTGCTTTGTCCTCTCTCCCCCCTGCACCTGGGGTTGTGGGGTTCAGATAGGCTCAGAGTTCAGTGCAATGAAGTCTGAGAACTTCTGATGTAGACCACAGATGCATCATTTTGAAGGGTTGTTTTAAAATAAAGTTAAAGAAACAAAAAGAATCTTTTGACAAGCTACAAACATATTAACCTTGTGGAAAATACCTTGACTGAGGAACAGGAAATAGATATCATCTAGAGTACCCTGGGAACCCTGGTAGCTGAAGTTGACACTGTTTGAGCCCTCCTTGAAAAATTAAAATATTCTGTGATTACTGTGGTGCCTGATCATAAATGCTCCTCTCTTTGACCAAAATCCTGTGCATAGGGATAAGTGATCTGGCTTGGATAAAATTACAAGCTTGAGCAGGATCTGAACCAAACCTATTTGAAGATAATTTTGCAGTTTTAATTTTTTTATAACTCCACTTCCTAGTTCTGTCTGGAAGCAATTTAATGCTGCAGGGGTGAATAATCTTGAGGTATTTCCAGCCAGGCCAGAAGCAATATTAGCTGTCTTGAAAGACTGTGTCTGTTATTGCTAGAATTGTAACCCTGTTTTGCAGACTTGGTTGGGTATTCATATGTGAATTTTTGGATACTTTTCCAACTTGTAGAATCGACTGAAGCTCTCTCATTTATCCTGTCTTATTTTTGTCAGCATAGTGCTGTAGAAGGTTTATTGAATCTTTTAAATCCTGATTCATTAAGCATGTCTACTATCTAGTTTCATGACTTATTTTTTAAAAATTTCAGAACATACAGATGGAAGGTTTTGTAAAAATATTCAACTATATTGAAGATATGATCACAGCTTATTTCTTTATATTATTAAAACATTTTAATAGGTGCCATAATTGGACAGAAGGATTCTGGGAATCATTCACAAAGTTAGAAATGACATACTGATGAATGAACAATTTTATAGAATGGGGAATGTGTAGTAACTGCTGTTGCAGACAGAATGCATGAGTTTCTAAAAAATTCAGAAGAAAAACGTGTCTGTCTTGTGTTTTACCTATTCTGAAATATATCTGATAGTATCATTTTTTTGAAGAAAACTTGCACACTTCATTGAGGTGTAGATATGTTAAATCTACATCAAAAGTAGGCAATGAGTTTGCCATACAGAAATAATTTTGAATGTTATCTTATAAATCAAGGACCAGTCTGCCCTGGTCCTTATGTAGGGGAAAAAGTGAAAAGTTTTAGGACTGATTCTTTCTTTTTAACATTGTGCCCCAACAATAAGGAATATGTCGGAGAACTTCAGAGAGCTCAAGGACTACACTCTGTGCACTCCTGGAGGTTCAGATTACTCTGGAGCATGGGTTCCCAAAGTGGGGTGGTGCGAAGAAATTCCAGGGAGGGGAGCAAGGCGACTGAGCCCCATACACCCGGTCAATCCCACTCCAAGTTTTGCTGCTATTTTTAAAGAAATTCCAGGGAGGGGAGCAAGGCTATTGAGCCCCATACACCCTGTCAATCCCACCCCAAGTTTTGCTGCTATTTTTTTGGGAGGGTTTCTCAAAAATCAAAAAGGGGGCGTGATGCCGAAAAGTTTGGGAACCACTGCTGGAGGATTACCATCCATTGAGATGGAGGGGCAGTTTATATCTCAGAGCTATAAACTCTTTGAGGCTCTCTGCAGTCTCAGTAAAGCCATCTTTGCAACTGTTACACTTGCTTAACAATCTGAAGTTGCTTTTTTGTTTTGTTTTGGTAACCATAACAGCTAAAGACTTAAGATGAGACTCTGAAGAACTGATATCTGTCTGCACCTCTCCTTCCATTATTCAACTGTGCACCCCTCCCTCCTGTTTGTAGGAAGCCACCCCCACCCTTTAGGTAACAGGGAATATACAGACTTTGCAGGCTGAATGCTCCCATTGTGTGCCACAGAGATAGGGGAGGGATTGTTCCTCCTTAGGACCAATCTGCCCCTCAGCTAACTTTGGGATAACTTTGCTCTACACCAGGGGTTCCCAAACTTTTTGACACAGGGATCAGTAAATCCATTCATGAGCTTTTGGAGGACCGGTAGAATTCATTTGCATATTCATTAAGCAAATGACGAATCTGCAAATATGTTATTTTTGGTCCTCCCAAAGCCCACAGGGCCATCTTTAGCAAAGCTTTTGATACGGCCACCCACAACATTCTTACCAGCAAGTTAAGGGAATATGAATTGGAAAAATCGACTGTAATCCAATAAAACCCCGCACCACTACATCATGTATTGAAAAGGGGCTCATTTATTTTCAGAAAGCTGACTCCATCTTTGGAATTTTTTATCCATAGTCTCATTCCGGATGGTGAATGCACCAAGTTCTCGCCATTCTGACACATTGTAGTGCCTTTAAACCTCGCTGTCAGCAGTGGGGATATTTAAAAGGCACTGCTTTTACATTTTTATTCAGGATCTGCGTGCACCCTGAACTGTCCCACTCCCCGCTGGCCGGTTCTCCTCCCCCCCCCCTCAGGCCAGCCCTGCTGTCCCCGCCGGGCTGCACTCCCCAGTCAGCCCTGCTTCCGCCGGCCGGTTCCCCAGCCAGCCCCGCGATCTCCCCCAGCCAGCCTCACTGCCCCTGCCAGCTGGTTCTCCCACTCCACGATCTCCCCTGGCCAGCCCCACTGCTCCCACCCCACCAGCCAGCCCTGCTTCCGCCGGCCAGTTCCCCTCCCTATCTCCCCCGGGCAGCTCCACTGCCCTGACCCTGCTTCCCTGCGGCCCATATCCAACCCCCTCTCCCTCCTCCACAGCCAGCAATAAGAGCTCACCTGGTAACCCTCACTCTGCCTCTGCCGGGAGCCTGAAACATACGACTGCATCCGCCCAGCCTGCTGAGGGCTTGGGGGACCCGGCACTGCACGGGCAGTCCGGGACACCCTGGCAGCCATGCTGAGGCCCGGTATTTTTTTCCCCGCGGCCTGGTACCGGGCCTATAGTTTGGGAAACGCTGCTCTACACTATCCCTCAGTACAAGCCAGGACCTAAGTGTCACAGCCTGGTCCCAAGGGCATAAATTCACACTACAGTAGAAACTCTCATTAATCTGGAACCCTTAACTCTATGTGCCTGTGAATTCTGATTAAACTATTTCCCTTTCTGTAATAAAGCACAGTATATTATCATAGTTTTTAACAAGAGAAGGAAATTAATTGTTTTGCAAGGCAGAAGTGAGGCAGAACTAAATGGTAAAGGTTTTGCACATTTTTTTTTCTGGGTTGTGATGAGGTTTACTGTCATTTCTTTTTCAAAATTTGGTCTCAATTTTTTTTTTTTTAAAGAAATGCATGTTTGCAACATTTTAAGGGATTAACCACAGTCCTTAGTGGTTTATGCTTTCTTTTTCCTCTCTGCTGTGGGATAAAAAGGGTTTAGAAATCCTTAATTTTGTGTGGTTAAGTATGTGACATAATCATGTGGTTAATTAGCATTACTGCATAGCTCAGAATATGTAACTTCATTATCATTGTAAACTTGAGTCCACAGACTGACTAAATGTTCAAAGTTAAATTAAAACCATTTAATACTAGACTATATGCATTTCATAAATGTTTGCCACACATCATGCTTTCTCTCCTTCCCTGTCAATCTTGTTTAATCCCCATTTTTACACATTCTGTTCCTTCATTCTAACTTCTCCCTTCTCTTCACATATTTTCTATTTCCACCTTATTATGTATGCCCATTTTCTCTGCCCACTCTCAATTTCACTCTAACCCTTTACCCCCGTCTCCTAGCTTTAGCTTCTAATTTGCTACAGTCAAGAGTACACGTTAATATATGCTTCTTCATCAGTGTGGGCCCTACCATAAAGATAAGAAGACAGTGGAATTGTAGTTCTTGGTTTACCTGTCCATTTGCAGTGTTGGTTCTTGTGATGGGTAGGCACCTCAAGTCACTGAACAGCTGGGAGATGGTTATAGTTGAAACAGTGATGGAAAGATGAATTCTTCAGTCTTATTATGAGGGTTCCATGCTACAATGAAAATAATGGGCTTGGCCCTTAACCCTTTTGAGAGAAGTCAACTTTTTTTTTGCTGTGAATTAATACGGTTGTTTATGAAAAAGTGGAAATTGTGAACTCTCTTCTCCTTTTAGTACATATAATAGTCTGTGCAAGTTTCTTCATACTTTTCTCCCAGTGACTTTGATCTTTGAACTAGCAAGGCCACTGTCTTTGGCAATTCTGAATCAGTTAGGTCAGATCTGGGCTCTTCTGTAAAGGGGCTGCCAAGTTATACTGAAACGTGTGGTGGTTTTTATGATTTGAATGAATGTTCAAAATGGACTCCTACATGAGACTACCAAATGTCTTTAATTTAAAAACATAATTTGCAATGGAACCATAAGTCCCAAGGGTAAAAGGCCAGTGCTTTCATTTTTACTACTTAGTCATCATTCCTCCCTCTATAGGGGATTCTTTTTTCACTGTGCAAGGCCTATGGTTTACATTGCCTCTTTAAAAAATGAGTTCAGTTGATTTAATGTTCTGTTTTGTGATGAAGTATCCTGCCTAGGTCATAGTTTAGCTGTTAACAAGATATTTATGAAGTGGTAAAATTTCTCTACTCTGTGGTGAATTTAGTCTCAGGAGTAGGGCAAAAAGTTAGCTGAATAAATACACTTTCAAATTATATGTTAAAATTAAATGCAACAATTTTAATAGTTTAGAACCACTTAAATCAGTTATATTTCTGGAACAGCTCAAAACTATTGTAAGTTGATCTTTGCTGAAGGAAAGGCTGAAACCGTTTCAGTTAGATGAGTAGTGCACAAGGCTGTTCCAGAGAGCAAAGCTTCTGCTTTATAGAACAACTTAAATCCATACCCTTATGCTGTATATAAACTCTGAAACATATTTAAAAATAAGGCCCCATTCTTGAGCTCCTTTCTCTGACAAAGCTCCCATTGACTGACTTATGGGAATATTGTCTAATAATGGACCTGAAATGTTGACTTACAATTAACATTTCTGATTGAGTGCTAGAGGTGGTAGTATTTTTGTGAATGTGTAGCTGTGTGTGTTGGTAGTGATGTTACATTTGTGATAACAGCAGTATGTTCCTTTCCTCTTTGTTTAGTCACTGTTATTTGTATTGTGGTAGTATCTTGGGCAAGGGTGGGGAACCTTTTTTTGGAACGGAGGCCACTGACCCACAAAAAATCAGAACCCCCTGACTGAGAAGGAGAAAGACACTCCCTGCAATACCCTCCCATACCAGAGTCTAGGGGGCCCAGGCTAGTAGATTTTGAGTGTCCCACTCCTGCAGTGAGGCAGAGAAGGGGCTGGAGTGGCAGTGCCGACTCCCCAATGCTTGGGGGAGGAGGCCCTGAGCTTTGGGGACGGGATCCAGGCAAGCTAGGGGCTCCCGGGCTTGAGGTTCCACACACCTGACCTTGGGCTTCACTGTGTTAGGTATTGACCCATAATGAAAGATGATTGCTTCCCAACACACCTGACCTTGGGCCTCACTGTGTTAGGTATTGACCCATAATGAAAGATGATTGCTTCCCATAATTATCTCTGTTAAATCATGAGAGGTTTTTTTGACTTGTCAGCAAAAGTATTGAAACTTAAGCTTGGTTTCAATTCCAGTTGCACCCATGACCAACAGTGGTTTCCCTAAATATTGTTCATATATGTATGAGTGGCCTATAGTAGCTTTCTGCAATCCCCTCCTTCTCTCCCCCCCCCCTTTTTTTTTTTGGTATACAGGCA